CCTGCTTCACCTCTCTCATACTATAACAAACACACAGAGCCCAACAGCATTTCCATGGCACACTCTCAAAGGCCCATGAGACAAGCGATCCTGTTGACAACCTTCCTCTGAGGTGTTAGGAGTCACTCCTGCCATGGGAAAGTACTTCTGCCATGCGTCTTCCTCCAGAAGTTCATTCCACCTGAACTTTATCTCCATCTATGATGCTTTTTTGCCTTGAAAACTCTCCCCTTTTCTGCTTGCCTAACCATTTCCAACTCATCTTTGAGTCCTTTCTCAATACCTTCATGCTTAACAAGGCCTATTTTGTATCTTTCTAGTCTCACTTGGCACAGCTATCTAGGAAGAGGCCATTCCATGCCTTTTTTTTTAATTATAGCATCAAACCCATATTGGAAGAATGTAAATTAGTAGGACTAGCAGCAGCAGCAGCATGAATGTTTGATTAAGCTCAACACTCCCCCCCCCCCCAAAAAAGGGTGTCTCATGATGCAGACAGATTTGCAGAATCCGAAGCATGTTTTATGTTGGCAAAATTCCACTGATGCTACAAACTGTATCCACTTAGACTAGCTGAAGATTTAATCACTAGAATTCTCTTTAAAATATGGGCTAAAAGCCATATCTCCCCACCGTCCCCCCTTTCTGGGTGTTGAATTGCTCAGGGAATATAATGAACTAGAACGATGTGTTCAGACTTTCAAAAAGTTTCTAGCCAAGCTGGACTTCTGTGTATATTTGAGAGTAAAGTACACTGAAATCAATGGGCTTTGTTTCTGGGTAAGCATACATAGGACCCGTTCTTCATGCCCTTCTTTATCAGAAATGTATTAAGTCCTGGAATAAAATAACACATCTTTTCAAGTACAAGCAATGAGGGGAAAGGAATAGATGGACAGTTTTACAAGGAAGGGAAGTAGGCAGTGGTGTCCCTCAATTATTCCTACTGGGAGCAGAACCATGTATCTTGTTCGTACGTGATTTGGAATCAGGTGTCCAGTAAAGAAGCCAAATAAGTGGATGACGCCAAATTATTCAGGGTAGTGAAAGCAGACTAGGTTTCTAGACTGAATTAATGAGACACCAAATGGAAGATATAAGTGAATGCAAAATGATGTGGTCTAAATTGGCTGTGACTTCCCAGAAAATAGAGTTGGAAGCACAGTGGAATTTTTATTAAAACTGTGCTGTAGAAGCAAAAAAGAAAAGACAAATGCAACTTTGGCATTATTAGTTAAGGGATCAAAAATAAAACAGTTAGGATTTATTTCCAATTTGGCACCACAAACCCAGGAAAGCAGGGCAGCATCAATCCACAAAAAGCAAATTTCTAGGAGCAAACTTTGTGTCAGATTCCATGAATTTTTCCCCCTTCACCACCAGCAGCCTGGAGCCATCTTCAACCACATGTGTGAATTTGGAAGAGGGTAATGTACACAGGGACAGCCATAGCAATTCCTGTGATCACTCTGGCTAGAAAAAGTTCTGCCATGATGTGAAAAATTGCTTCTGGATCTATCTGAGTCTAGCCCTCCCCACACTGACTATTCCCCGTCGCAGTTATGGATGCAGCTGGCAACATTTCTGGGCTACTCTCATGGGGGGGGGGAGTGCTGTGTGAACTGACCCCATGTATCACATTATAAAATGGGCAACACATTTCTGCTCTCAGTATGAGTTTCCACAGCCAAAGCTATTTTTTTAACAAGCTCATCAGGAATCAAAATATACAGCTTTGATAATGGATGGCTGTGTTAAAACTAAAAGATGAGTTTGCCTATCTCAGATGGAATCTATGCAGAATGAACCCTGCTTGGGCTGTACACAGAACACAAAATGGAGATAATTTTATTTCTTCTTTAGTGTTTTAACATATCAAGGGGAAAGAAATAGCAACATCATGACGGTAGTGGTAATGTTAGCCAAGCGGCTGGACTGCTCCTCCTTCCAGAGACCACAGAATATTTACATACATAAACTGAGCTACAGATGAGCAGTAAATAGTGGTTTATTGCACTCACAATCAGGAGGATTGCATCTTCAGGGACACCTCAGAGCAGCAGACTAGCAAGGAACCACAGGGCTGGCAGTTTGGCACACCCAGCGAACAAGAAACACACAATAGAATTATGCATGGTGTGGCTAAAGGGCATAAGAAGAAGCTCCCCATTCCCTATAGCTCATAATACTAGGACTTGGGGCCATCCAATGAAACTAAATGTTGGAAGATTCAGGATAGCCAAAAGAAAGTATTTCTTCATAGATAAACTGTTGAATTCACTCCCACAAGAGGTAGCAATGGCCACTAGTTTGGATGGTTTTAGAAAAGGATTCAACAAATTCATGGAGTATAAGGAATATCAATTGCTGAGAATCACAAATGGGTCCCTCTGGTCCAATTCACTGCTCACATTTCAAACAGTACCAAAGGTGTGTGTGTGTGTGTGTGTGTGTGTGTGTGTGTGTGTGTTTCTCTCTTGCTTGGTTCTTATTCAGATTCAGATTCATTTGGAAACAGGCAATATATGCCATATGTGATTTAGGCACAGTGGGGAAAGGACTTTGAGCAGAGTTGGGAAGACAATTTGAAGAGAGTGAAGAAGAAAATGGATTTTCTCATGCCCTCAGTTGACAAATTCCTTTTACTGGAGGGGGAGGGAAGGAGAAGGAGAGAGGGGGGGTGATAATTATTAATCAATACAAGTGACTGTCATACCTGACCAAAAAAGTAGGGTATGTTTTTGCTATTGTGCTTGCTTTTTTTCAAATCCAAAACTAGTGACCATCTTTCTACAGTTTTAAAAGTGTCATTTGTTCAGCTACTACAGAAATATTTCCTTCTAGTCCACCACTATGTCACTATCCAAATGAGCATAGAATAGAGGCCTAATATTTTCTTTGGTGGAGTTCTAAATTAGAGTAGTAATGGATCATTTTATATGTAGGTAAAGAGCAAGTTATTTCCTCTTCAAGATCTACGTCCCCCCCTTTTTGACTATGTATTTCCTTCCAGGTAGCCTCTTTGGCTCCATCTTGTGATGTGTTAGCTACAGAGTTTTATATCAGTAATATTTTTTTCTTTCTCTTTTGTTTTAACGTGTTTGAAAATAAATTGTCTTTGGGAAACAAAGCACTTTTATTTCTTTAGAAATAACACCCAGCTATTATAAAGATATATTGTTCAAAGGCTAAATGCATTCAGAAACCAACTTGTCACTATGAATTTACACAAGAGTAAACAGGAGCAGTATATTGTCCTGTGCTTGTAAACTGCAGTGAAAGCAGTTGGCACTGTGCCCACATTTTTTATAATAAACGTACAAAAATGAAACATATGCAGATGCTTTGCAGTACTGTGAAAATAGCAACTCAACTAAAGTTAGTATATATAATGACAATGAAGGTTATAATATCTGTAATTGAAGTATGCATATGTACAAACTTTGCATAAATTAAAAGAAGAAAAAGGTAAGATAATGTTTTAAAAATGCAAAATACACATTGTATTCAAATATTATTAATTGGTTTATGAAATTTCCCATGAAATGGAAATTCTTCACAATGCCACTAAATATCCAATATCTAAATTCAGGCCAAATTAGATGTGATGTTAAATGCAACTTTGCATTTTATTTGCAGGTTGATTTTAAAATGCAAACAGCATGAGCTGGGGATGAGGGCTGATCATTTTCAAGGCTGAAGCAGGCAGAAAGAGGGCATTTAATACTTTCCACCTCTGTTGTGGTCCTGAAGAAAATTATTCCTTGAACCTGCAATTTGCATTAAAAAGGCCATTGGTGCCAAGTGTGCCAATCAAAATTGCCTCTCTATACCTGCTGTTCACATTTAAATTTTTTTAATGCAAGGGCCAGAACATGTCTATGTTTACAAATAGTTTGGCTCATTGGTGACCAGTCTGGTTTGTTAGCAGCTGAATTGGCTAAAAGAAAAAGAAACACTTTTTTAGAAACCATATAACCTAAGGAGCCCATATCACCTAGGCAATAATGATAAATCTGCACATATTCCCTCTGCAAAGAGCAGAGAATTTTGATTTGAGCACAGGTAAATAAGTGCTGGGATGAAGGATTTAGCCCAGAGATTTTTTACAAATTTTGCAGGGGACATTCCCCCCCCCCCAAAAAAATGGAGTAAACTTTGGGGGAAAGGAGGTGAACTTGAAAACTTTCCCAGCTTACCTTAAACACAAGTTGGTCAAGGTTTTGGTTAATAAATCGTGTCCTCCCTAAAGAGGGCACGTTTTGCAGTGAGACCTGGAGACTGACCTCCTCGTTGTGGGTGGGTCTATTGGATAGTCACAACGCCCGATTGGTGGGTCCCTCATTGCTGGATATAATCTGGCCAATGGGGTGCAGTCTAAACAGTTCAAGAGACCTATTTAATCTGAGATATCTTGATTTATTGCTCAGATAAGCCTGGTCCGGCACGCTTCCCCCATCACGGGCCTCTGCATTCCAATGGTCCGACATCTGAGCATAGCAGAGTTCGTCAGCGGTAAGAGGAAACAAAAAAAAAACTCCCCCCTCCCACTAGTAGGCAGAGCGTACACTCTGAGCTGTTTAACCCTGTAAGCTCAGGTTTTCCTCACATTTAATCCCTTGCACATGACCCAGAGATTCTCTTTTGGCTCGTGCATCAGAACACCCGCCCACCTCTCCCTAGATTTAGGGTATTTTGTGATTGACCTTGTTATGCCGTCGTGTGTCGTCTGTCGTTGGGACAGGGGCACGGCAGGAAATTTCCCCACTTGGCTGATTAGCTGTTGCCATTTGGGTTTCACCTGCCACGTAGCAAATCGTCACAACTTGTAAGGTTGCGGATAGGAACTGGTTCAGGTGATAGGGATGGGAGATGTTGGGAAATTTCTATTCCACCTTAAGGAGCAGACATGGAACTGTTGCGTGTCACATATCTGTTTACATTCCAGCACTGTTTTGCTGGCGTTAGCGGAACTTCCGCTGTGTTATTGCTTTTGCTTTGGACTCTCTTGCTGAGAAGACAAACACGGATAAGAAGCAAGCAGCAGTTTGGCCGCTGGAGCCATATTTTCAGGTACGTTCTCTCAGGAAAGCAGTTGAACAGCTAATGCGCTGCTTCAAGCCACAGCAAGGCCTTTTCACTTAAGAAAAGAAGAATAAGAACATGTCAATACAAGGCATGAAGTTAAGAGGGGGAAATATTCAAATCCTGCTTCCCAAAAAAGTGATTGAATATCCCTCCACTGGTGCTGCCACTGTCCCCAAGGTCAGTACATTTGGCACAAACCTGTTTCCCCCCTCAAGACACTGAGCATCTGCATAGAGGGGAGATGCTTTCATTTAGGAAACTGTGCAAGGTTTACCTCTCCAGATAAGGCTTTAGACTGAAGAGAGATTTCACTTAAAAAAATTAAAAAGCAAACATAACAAAGAAGGCAGTTTTTACTTTTAAAATGTAGCACTGTACTTGAGATATATATATAATTACTATCCTGTATTTTCTAATGATCTTACGTACAATTTTGAGAGTGTTTTAATGCTATTTTGAGTCCTCTCACAGGGTTGATTAGAAACATTCTGAAATGCATAAAGAAAAACAGGTGTTTTGTGGTTTCCCCCAGGGAATTCCCCTCCCCCAAGTAGGCTTACAGAGAGCCAACACGGTGAATTTTCGTAGCTAGGCAAATATATTTTTATTCTCCAAGATGCCTGAACATATTTTTAGCCTTCTGTTATTAATATTTACCATATTATATCCTGGTTTTGGAAAATGCCCTCAAAGCTGCACACAACTTTTCAATCCAGTGGTCAAATGCTTTCATAGGAGACAATGGTGACTTTGAGCCAGTGGAAGCTGGACTATTTGGATGGGGGGGCACCCCAACAACCTCAGTCTGCCCTCAGCCAGCCCCCCACCTGCCTGCCTTCTTATTTAGCCTAATGGGTGGACAATCAGCCTGCTCAATCTGTTTTGTCTTCATGAAACTCAGAAGGGTAGAAGATGGGGACAAAACCAAAATGAATTGGCTCCATCTTGCTTTGGCTCTGGCTCCACCTACTGTTAGCCTCCATGCTTTCTACCCTATCAGTCCCAAACAGCACCAGTCACCACTGATGGGGCTTATTCCCATGTAAGTGAGCTCAGGCTTACTTCCCAGCAAACATGCAGAGGTTTGTGCTCTTTGTTTACATTCTTGTCCTAAGTCAAACCATATAGGATTCTTGGCAAATCCCATATATTTTCAGTTTGCCTTTGGCTTCAAAACAATGTTTTAGGATTACAGTTTGAAGGTCAATTTGATTGGATTTCTTGAGCTTCATGAGAGGACTGCTTTCCATCTTACTGTTTTAGTTCTAGAACTAAAACAGCCAACTATATTTTATAAACTTAAGTGTTGTGTCCCCCACCCCCCACCCGCAATGGTTCCACTTACTTCCTATGATCTGGCAAAGGATCACATTGATAGATGTCATATCCTAGTATGAGTACTAGATTTAGGCATGTATCTGGCCTAAGCTGACCACAGGTATCCATTTTTACCCCTTTATTTTGTCGAACAATTCAGATTGAATTGCTGTTATGTCCTGTCACAACTTAAGCTATGAGGCAATGCTGGCACGTTACCTTTAACTGCATGCTTGTTGCTTTAAAACATTCTTCACTCTTTCCCTGTTGAACAGATGTAATGCAGATGCTGGAGCCAAGTATTTATAACCATCTCTCTCCTTTTTGGCTTAAGCACCCCACCCCCCCCAAAGGAGAGTAACAAAGCTCAAAAAAGCCATTAGCTTTAGACTTTAGTGGATACAAAAAGGAGATTTATATAACCTGTCAGCACAATTCATTGCTCAATGCCAGAAAGTATTTTGTCAATGTTGGTTGTAGCCTCCATGTGAAAATTAAGGAACTGGGATTCAGGGACCCTGAGATTTCTACTCTCTGGTGGTCTTTCCAAATAGTTAGGAAGCTAAACAACAACAACATCACACCGACGTCTCTTTCGAAGACAGAAGCTCTCTTTTCCATAGTAGAGTGAGTGGCCAGTTGAGCACCACTTTCTGAAATGAGCTAACTTGCTGTGACTTGCTTGTCCCTGAACTTTCCCCCACCTCTTTCTCAGCCTCTGCCTTTGGGACTGCTCTGACTACAGCTAATTTTAACACATCAGCAGGTAGACAGAAGAGTCGGAGTGGCAGTGACCAAAAAAAGACTCAGAAGTCAGTCATCATATCCTCAACATCAGACATCTGCGAACTAGCTGTAGCTACTCCAAGTGAAAGATATGCACTCTGCACCTGCTCAGTGACATTCTTTTTCTTTATTAAGTCTTACAAGTGAAACTTGTGACAGAGCCTGTTCTAAATGATTTTTGATATTCTGTTTTAAATTTGTGCTCAGTGTTGGGTTGTTGCTGTTTTTAAGGGGGTTGCCCCCTTAGGTTCCCTTGCTCCTTTTCTGTATTATGTAAACCTTGCTGTTCTCCAGACCATGTTTATACTTCTCCCTTGCGGTGCTGTTTTGGCTACATAAGAATACACTCTTGGAGACTGAGTTTGTTATTACAGATTTTTGTGAATGTGCTTATGATATCGCTCCCTCCCTCGTTCCCAGTCATATGCCACTCCATCAAATTTGCAGAAACCTCCAATTATATAAAAAGCTGTGCTATAATATATGATGAATTGAAATTATTTTCAATTCTTATTGATGAATGGAACACCATCTGAAGCATAAATATTTAGTGCAGATTCAGCTCTAATCTAATAAATATGTACCAAGAAACTGGGAAGTCATTCTTTTGATAACATAACAGCCCAACTTTCATTCGCTTTGGTCTCAAACAAAATATGTATATTTGTACACATTTTTGGCTGAAGAGCATCTGGAGATGTGTGAATTTCAAAGGATAACTGCATATCAGTTTATCTCTTGTTTCCGGAAGTGCAAATGATAGCCCTTCTGTGGACCTCATTGAATTTCTCCCACATCGCTACAAGCAAGTGAGTCAGCTTTCCTTCAACCCATTCTATGATATTGTGATGCAAATGCACTTACCTTGCTTGGATTACATAAGAACAGGCACTCAAGACATTGGAATCACTCTTCGTATATATGATAATGTTGAAGTACTCAAGATTTCAGGCCAAAACATGGAGAAAGTGTGCTAAAGGTGATGCCCTTGTACCACCATTCTGCCATACTGTTATCTTTAATTTTGAAGTGAAATTTCCTTGCCCTCCAAATGTGTAGAATAATCCCTTTGCTTGTCACTTTTAAGTGGACCTTCACATACTTAAAAAAAAAATCACTCATTTTTGTTGTATTTTGTTGAACTTATGCTCATTTGGCAGTTTAACTCCAGCTGTTCTTAATTGGTTGTAGAGATTTATTTGACTCTTTTACATTGCTTCTTAAATAGATATTATTATGAAAATAGATATTGTGCATTTATGTATTTGGATTTTTCTTCATGTAAATTAATTTATTTGAAACAATGCTGTTGAATTTTGTATTTGGATTTTTATTTATTCTAACTGCTTTGAGATTTGTGGATCTTAAGTGGTTTATAAATGTAGGCTTACCATATATCTGGAATTTCCCAAACATATCCAGGATACTGCAGTGGGCAGCAGTGTCCAGGCAGAAATTGGTCAAGTGTCTAGGAAAATCAGACATATGGAAGCCATGCCAGCAGTGACTTTTTTCAATTTCCCATAGAAATAGGTCAAAAATGGGGGGGGAAATTGCTCAACAACTTTGCCTCTAAAAAGCTGATTTTCACTGTTTGAAACATGTGAACCCTAATAAATGGGCTAAATAAATGAATTCAGCATAGGAACCTAGGAATTTAGGAGAAATAGGAGGACTCCACACTCCTAACTGGTGAAAAGGTCAGAGGGGGAGGGAAAATATCAGTCAAACTGAAGAACAAGGTCATCATTGACGTCTGTGAAAAGTTTCACTGATGATTGAGAACTGAAAAGTTGCAAGAGAGCAAGATCTGGCAGATTTCAAGAAAGGTGGAACATTGGAAAGTGTCAGAGATCACAGTTGGGCACCACAGCAGAAATGGGCCAGGAGAAGGTTTCAAAGAAACCCAGATGCTTTATGACATAAATGGACAAGTACTGGCTAGGTTAGAGAAGCAATCTTCAATAGATATAGCTGGATTATTTTTATTTTCTCTCATGGGAGAAGTAGTTTTCTTCCCTAAAACCATTGTCCCACAAACTTGTTCCTTACTAAAACTGTAGGCAAAAGCATAGTTTCCTTTAGAAAATTTGGATAGAGAGATGTTATTCTTGTTGGGATACTGCCAGGGAGATAAAGTCCATCAAGGCCCCTAAGCCGTCTGCCGGACGATCCATCGACCTCCCGTAGGCACGCAGCGACATGAGTTTCTAGAAAATATCTTGCCACATTCTATAGCTCATGCACGCTCTATCAGCAGATAATGCACAGCCAAAAGTTGCAGTCAGGAGAGCATTATTTACAATTTTATTCAGCATTGATCAGAACACAGAAAAACATGACTGACTGCTTTAGTGTCTGCGACACAGAGAGAAAACGAAAGCAACAGAAAACATAAACATCCTGTGAACAGGAAATACGCAGACTCTGACTCACAAAGCCTGCTCCCTTTTAAGGTGGAACGGAAATATCCTAACATCCTCCCCCTTTCCGTGTAACCTGTAGTACCTGTGGTTCAACCCAATTGCAACCTTTGTACGTAAACCTTAAGTTGTTCTCTGTTAACAACCTTAGACAACAGATCAGCAGTAATTTCATTTCCTGGCATGTAGGACACCTGAATGAGTCCTTTCTGAATACACTCTCTTGCACGATGTAGCTTAATCTGCAAGTACTTGGTCCTTTGCTTGCAACTCTCCGAGTTCAGCAAAGCCAAACACGATCTATTGTCTTGATACACTTGTACAGGACATTTCACAGAAACTCTGATGTCCTTAAACAGTTGCATCAACCATTCACAATCCATGAGTGAAAATGACAGAGCATTGAGTTCTGCTTCACAGGAACTTAGGCTCACTGTCGTCTGCTTTTTGCACAACCAGTCAAACAGGCAGTGGTTGTACATGTAGCATACTCCAGAAGTGCTTGTACCATCCGTGGTGTCACTTCCAAAACTTGCATCTGCAAAGATTTCAAGACCTCCAGTCTTCTGACTGGTGAACCTCAGCCTGAAGCGCATAGTCCCTTTCAAATAGCGGGCTATGCGCTTCAGAGCTTTCCAATCCTGAACAGTAGGATTGTTAGCATGTCTGCTAAGCAGGTTAGTGCTTACAGCAATGTCAGGTCTTGAGCATCTAGCTCAATTCAACTTGCCTAGAATGCATCTGTACAGCGTTGTGTCAGAAAACGCTTCAGCAGTACTGTCTACCTGGTAACCTGTCACCATCGGTGTGTCTGCTGGGTTTGCATCAACCAAATTCAACCTGGTTAATACATCAGCAATTTTCTGTGTTTGGTGTACCAGAAAATTACCTGCTTGGTCCCTCTCCACCTGCAGAGAAAGATAGTTGGATACCTCACCAAGATCCTTCATGTCAAAGTGCTCTTTCAGCTGAGCTAGGGTGCTTTGGTACAAAGCCTGATTCTTCCAAAACATCAGAAGATCATCAACAAAACATAAACAATACAGTTTGTTTTGCCCCTCCTCCTTGACAAACACACATGGATCAGCTTTGCCCTGGTGAAAACCTAGAGAAAGCAACGTCTCAGTGAGCTTTGTGTTCCAACACCTGGCACTCTGCTTGAGACCATATAAGGATTTCCGCAGTTTACAGACCATTCCCTTCTGTATCTGCATCCCATCAGGTGGAAGCATAAACAGCTCCTCCCCCAGAATCCCGTACAAAAAAGCTGTATTAATGTCATGATGGGAAACATGCAGTTTCTCCTCTGCAGCTATCTTGAGCATCAGCCGAATGCTCTCATATTTGACTGTGGGTGAGTAGGTCTCGTGGTAATCCTGTTCTGGTACCTGTGAAAAACCTCTGGCAACCAATCTGGCTTTGTGTCTGACAACCTTGCCATTCTGGTCTGTCTTGGCCTTGAAGACCCATTTGCTGCCAACCAGTCTCATTCCTGGGACTACTGGTACCAACTCCCAAGTTTGGTTCCTATTCAAGGAATCAACTTCAGCCTTCATGGCATTAAGCCAAGGCTCAGCATCTTTAGAGGTTAACTCCTGAACCTCTTTGAAGCTTGAAGGTTCCCATACCTTCTCTGAGCTACTAAGAACAGCAGTTGCTGTCTTAGCAAACTCATCAGCAAATCTCTTTGGAGGTCTGCCCTTCGTGGCTCTTTCAGATCTGCGTACTAGACGCAAGTCTTCTAGACTCATCTCCTCCTTCTTAGGAGAAAAATGACCAATGGTGAACAGTGGTTCTTCCAGATCATTGTCAGACGCATCAGATGGTCTGACTGAGGCCTTTGCGCTCTTGTAATCCGCTGTGTCATCACTGTCACTGACAGCAGCAGCAGCGCCGCCCACTGAACTGGAATCCGAACTCTGATCATCATCGTCATCATCATCCTCAGCAGCTTCCTCAGCTTTAGCTGCTTCTTTGACATCACCTTCATCCTCCTCTGGGTAACTCTGGAAAATTCCCACATTTTCCCCACTTAGGATTGTACTCAACACTCTTTGTGAACTTAATGGACTTAGAGTTGGTCATCCATACCCTGTATGCACCTTTTCGTACCCCATGAACAAACCATGTGCCCCACGCTTCCCAAGCTTGTTGCTCTGTGGGGTGTGTACCCACATGTCAGAACCAAAGATTCTCATGTGTTTGATGTTGGGTTTCTTACCAAACATCTTCTCATAGGGAGTACAACCAATAGGTGATGACAATCTGCGATTATAAGTGTAAGCAAAATTCGACAGAGCCTCCCCCCAATACTTATCAGGGAGATTGGCATCACGCAACAATGTTTTCATTCCTTGCAGCAACGTTTGATTTGCTCGCTCCGCAAGCCCATTCATCCATGGCGATCTAGGCGTTGACAAGTCATGCTGGATTCCCTTCTCAGTCAGGAAAGCTTCAAACTGCTGAGAAGTGAACTCCCGCCTCGATCAGTAAACAGACAGCCAATACGTTTACCGTGAACATTCTCCAACCAAGCACAGAATGCCTTGAACTTAGGAAACGCTTGCGATTTCTGCTCGAGCATAAACACATGAATGTACCTGGAAAAAGAATCAATTAGAACCATGAAGTACCTTGCTCCACCCAAAGAGGGCGCAAGTGGACCAACCAGGTCTGCGTGCACTAGCTGGTAGGGTTTGGAAGCCTGCCTGCTAGACTCCTTGCCTTTTGGAGCAACCTTCACCTTGTTCTCTGCACAAGATACACATTTCATGTGAAACTTACAGGGTTTGATGTTCAAACCCTCAACCATCTCTGGCATCTTGGCCAGTGCCTTCCAAGAGAGGTGGCAAAACCTTCGATGTGCATCGTGAATGCATCCTGCATGAAGAACTTTGTTAGTTTGTGCAACACAACAAGAATCAACATTAGACACAACAGCACCATTGTCGTCATAAGTTATACAGAACAAGCCATCCATAAACTTTGCATGCAAAATGTCCTCTTTGCCTTTTCTGATGACACAGACGCTCCTCTTGAAGGAAATCTCAA